TCCCTCCCACCTGAACCCAGGGCCAGCAGGGCCTGCACACACCAGCTCAGCACGTCCTCCTGTGAACATGTGGCTGAAGCCACAGGCGTGTTGACTGTGCTGGAAGCAGAGCACTGATTCAGAAGCTTCCCAGTAAGAGCCTGGAATGAAGCAGCAGCTGTGCTGTCACTAAAACTGACGTGGGGTTTTAAAGGTCTGTTTGGGGCTCACCCCTCCTCCTCTGCAGGCCGAATCATGATCCGGTGTGAGCACGTGGGCTCAGAGCCTGTGTTCTGGTGGCTTTGCGGGCACGGGAGCTGGTGCACACAGCGTGGGGACGAACTGCTTGGTGTGCTTGGCCTTCGCGGCGGGGCTCAGCGGCTCAAGGGCCTCATTGTTGCGGCCGTAGGAAACCCTGCGTCACACACAAGCTACAGGCTTGGGAGTCACCTCTCTCAAAGGCCTGATATACACGGAGTTATGTCACAGTAGCCACGTCATCCCCAGATGCTGGAATTTAGAGGCAAAAACAATGGGCCATTATCTGGCGTGTTCTAGAAAATGAGCTCTTGCTGGTGTGACTCACACGCCTCCTCCACACCCACCAGCAGCACCACAGACAGCCCTCACCAGCTGTCTCAGCGGGTCTGTGTCTGGTAAACGGGACAGCGTGGCCTGTCCTCCAACCCCACAGAGTCCCAGGGACAAGACGGCCCCAGCCCCCTTCCTCATGGGCCGAGGATTCCAACCACACTTGCCAGTCAGAGCCAACCACACATACTCATTTCAGACTCAGCATGTTCTTAAAACCTTTCCTACTGAAATTTTTCCAGATGCACGGAAAGTTGCAAGAGCTGTACAGACAACCCCGACATCCTTCACCCAGGCTTTCCGAGTCGGCACCTTACCACAGTGGTCTTACCGTTCTCTGCAGAACACATGATTTTCTTCTGAACCCTTTGATTGAAAACTGCAGCCACAGGTGGCCTGGTCGCTTAGCGGTCACCTGACAAGGGGGATGTGGCGGACCCCGGGTCACGGGAGAGGTGCGCTGGCCTGAGAGTGGCCAGCTGGAACCAGGAGTGGGCCAGCACCAGACGCACCTCCCGAACACGTGGGAGGAGCTGGGTCATCCGGGGTGGCAGGTGATCCCGGCAGCAGCTCCGTGTTTGGATCTGGAGCTCAGAGAACTGGGCTGGGCGTGGAGTCTGGGTCATCACTACCCTGGGTAGCTCGAGTCCTGGATGGTGGCACACTCCGCAAGGCTGACCCACAGGCAAGGTTTGCAGAGCACCTCCAGCGACCTCGCTGAGCGCGGCGTGCATGCCCTTGACCCCAGCTAGCCGAGGCTGGGGCTTGATAATGAATCAGGTGTCAACCTTGTTGGAGGTCCTCCTACTCATGGAAGAAAAATTAAAAACAACTTAAAGGAAGATCTAGAAGAGCCTGCATGAAGCTGAGTTCTGAGAACACTGTACTTGAGACAGTTTTCTGCCTGCCTTCCTTCCCGCACTATTTTTCACGGGCCCCCCCCCAGCCGTAACCTGGAACTGGCACCCCGAGCACGTGTCAGCTCCAGGGCACGGGCGCTGCACACCCGGTCTCGCCCCCTTCCCCAGGGAGTACTGCATCCACCACAGCCAGGGCCTCCTGTCCTCAGTCCGCCCGGAGGGATGGGCTCTTTGTGGCACAGTGCCCATAGGCCTCCCTCGTGGTTTCCCTGCCGATCTCCCACCGGGTCCGAGACGCGAACCGCGGTCGACTACGTGGGAGTCCAGCGACATAGCCATTACGCCAACTGCTGGTTCCCGGGATGGGCTCTTTGTGGCACAGTGCCCATAGGCCTCCCTCGTGGTTTCCCTGCCGGTCTCCTCCACCGCCAGCCCAGCCACCCAAGTGCATGTAAACCAAGGGGCCGGAATGCTTGCGCGCGGGGTGGGCGGCCTTACTGGGGCGTGGTTTCCGATCCAGCCCCTCTGACGGGTCTCCCACAGGCGCTCCTGGCCGGGTCAGTGCAGCCCTGCAGACACGCCAACGTGCAGAGGATTTCTTGCAGTGGCAGGGAGCGTGTGTTTGAAGCCAGCCAGCTCGTCTGTTTAGGAAAATCACCATGGGATTTAGGACGACGCGTCGATGTAGTGCAGTTGGTGGTTTAAGAAAATCCTCGCCGGCTAGTGAGCAGGAGCAGGGCCCAGCGGGCGCCTGTGCGAGCGACCGTACTCACCTTTCCCTTCTTCCTCTCCAGGGAGGTCAGGCCTGCGGCGGGCTGAAGTTCACAGCCACATTTCTGTGGAAGCCTGTTTGAGGCTCGGAGCAATAAAGTAGAACTCCAGAAATAGTTCGGGAAATGTCATCTCTCCACACTCAGCCCATTACGGCCTGTGTTCTCCTTCATGGAGCTTAAAAATGGAAATCCGGACAGAGTAATAATCATTTGCGTAAGAGTCAGAAAGGTCCAGCTTCCTGCCCAGGAAGAGGGGAAAATGATCCCATGTGCTCAAACATTGTGAAAACGATCCCCATAATGGAAAATAATGTGGGAACTGAGAAGCACCTTGATTTTGCCTATAGTTACGGGTTTGACTGTACTAAATGCCAATCTTCCATTCCTATTAGGTGACTAATGTTGCTTCTTTAGAGAGATACAAATTTAAAATCTATTAAAAGCATTTTTATTGCACACATTCAAAAAACATTGTGAGGCCGCTTATTAATATATGCCTATTTGCTTTGTTAAAAACATACTAAAAGAGGGACCAGCAGTTAGCGTAATGGCTATGTGGCTGAACTACCATGTAGTCGAACACGGTTCGAATGAACTACCATGTAGTCGACCACGGTTCGAGTCCTGGACCCAGTGGCTTAAACTCACGCCGGGCGCATGTGCGTGTGTACCCAAGATCCTGAGAGGAGAATGGAGGAGAAGGGATTGTGGTGTGGCGTGGCCATCCCCTGGGGAGTGATTTCTCACTTTCTGTCTCTCTGTCTCTTTTTGTCTTTCTGGCGAGTGCACGTACCCTATAGCAAAAATCTCTCAAAAAACAAACAAACAGAAAAAGACATACTAAAAGAGAATTAAAATCAGGGGGAGTTGTACCCGAATATTTCCTCTTTTTTTTTTTTTTTTTTTAGATTTTTGCCATAGGGTCGTGTGCTCGCTGGGGAGAGACAGAGAGGCAATGAGAGGGAAAGTGAGAGGTCACCCCTGGGGACAGCGTGCCACAATTCTTTCTCTTCCATTCTCCTCCCAGGACTTTGGGCATGCACACACACAGGTCTGGTGTGATTTTCAAGCCATCAGGTCTGGGACTTGAACCACAGTAAAGCCATGTGAGAGTCCAGTGCCTTAACCACCATGCCACCTGTGGCTCCTATATCCAAATATTGAGTTGTTGGGGAAGTCATGACATGTTTTTACGTAGAAAAAATATGCCACGATGTTTATGACAAACCAATGTTTTTATTCTTATTACTACTCTAACCTACCCCATAGCCCCTTGCACCTGTTCCCAGACGTTCCCAGCCGTGTGGCCATTCTATCCAGCCCCCACCCCTTCTAGACCCACCATGATGCTCTCTGCTTTGGCTCAGTCCAGCCTTTCTCCTCTGCTAAAGAGTGAGGACACACGGCCTGTGCTAAGTGTCTTCCGGAGCCTGCCTCATCCAGCATTCTGTGACCTGTGACCGAAAGTCCCAGCGAGGCAGGTGCTGGTTCAAGGCCAGGCAGCTGCCTCCCTGTGTGGCAGCAGGTCAGCACACATGTTCCTAGGAGCTGCTACTCCAAATTCTCACCGGTGTCTCCAGTCTAACAACACGACACTCTCCGGACCCCTTGGCTCAGGTGATGGGCAGCTTCTTGTCAGTTCTCAGTCCAATTTCTGCTGGAGGAACCGAGGCCCTGCCCAGAGCCACTGTGGCCTCTCACTGAACATGGGCCTCCTCCTCCGGCTCCTCTCTCCCAGTGCTGGCTCACTAGGACTCCAAAGATGGTTTCCCTTCTAAAGCAGCTCTGTCTCAAGTTCCCCATTCCACCCCAGCTCCCCCCACTCAAGACGCACATTTCAGTAGAACATTAAAAAGAACAAAGAATATCCTAAAAATGATCATCATAGGTTAGAGTAGTCATAAAAACAGAAATTCTTGGATAAGGAGTCCCAGGTGGCATGGCGGTCACTCACTGTACATGTGCCTTGAAAAGCCACTGTACCCTGAGGTGTGTACCACTCTTACATGTAAATCAGAAAACACAGTAAAAAATGTTTTGTAAAAAACGTGGTCAGGCTTGCATCCGTGTGTGAGTCACCTGGGGCTCTGGTTAGAATGCAAATGCCCAGCAGGCAGGCCTGGAGGGGCCGGGTTCGGAATTTCTAACAAGCTCTGGGTGCCCTGGATACTGTGTGAGGAGGGGTTTAAATATCGGGGTCCTGCCTGTCCTCATTTCATGATATTTGGGGACTGGCCAGTTCCTAGGTTGGTGCAGCAGCTTGAGGTGTCATTAGGAGTCAGCTTACCCCACTCCGCCGCCTGCCAGGCCCAGAAGGCTGTCACTCAGGGTTTTAAGTTTATTGGACAGGCACCCCATCCTCACACGAATGCTTCTGTTGTTGGAGAGACAAACGTCTCCCTTCCCCCCACAGCAGACTTTCCTGAGGCCAGGGTTGATCCCCGCCCACACCCTAGCGTCAGGGGAAGCTGGAAAGCTGCAACCCGGCATCCCAGCCTCTGATTGGAGGGCAGCCTCCTCAGCACAGCGGTGAGCTCGGGCAGGGGTAGGCACCAACAGGTGTCTCCCCGCTCAGGCGACAGTGACGGAGGGAGGACGTCTCCTTCGGTGCTTGCAGGAAAGCAGGCTTTTCTTCAGTGCACGCCACCAGGACAGTGGAGGCGAGGGAAGCATGTTGGAGGTCTTGGGAGTGAGGCCAGCTTGCGCCTAGGTGTTGCCTGGCAGCGGGAGCTGCATCGCCAGTGTACTCGCTGGTGACCGTCAGCAGGTTATTTACTCCTGAGATTCACCGCTCTGCTCTGCGCCAGGGAACTAGGCCAGATTAAGTAGATTGCATGTGCTAAGTAGCTAAGATTTTACACAGAGGAGTCAAGCCAGTGCCTGGCACACAGTGGGCACTCAACAAAACAGAGGTATGTAACAGCCTGGCAGGGATGTAACACACAGTGTGTGTGCATCCATGCCCACATGCACTGCACCAAGGTATGCTATGTGCGCATTCCTTTTCTCAATAAATTCTTTTAAAATTTAATTTATTATTATTATTTAAAATTTTTGCTCCATGACTTGTGCACTCACCAGGGAGAGACACATAGAGAGAGAAAGTGAGAAAGCAAGCTGCCCAGTCCAGGATTCGAACCACAGTCAGTCAGGTAGGAGTTCAGCGCCTTAACCACCATGCCACCTGCTGGCTCCTATAAGTACCTTCATACTTTATGCAGATTGAAATAAATCCATGACGCATTACCTGGGACAGTGCAGTCAGCCAGGTGGCTGCAGCTGGAGAGTCTTGGCCTACTGCCTGGCATGGTGATCCCACTTGCTGCAGACGCAAGAGGAAACATGCCACTCTTGCGAATCCAGGCTGAAAACAATGACAGAAATGGTCCAGCCCCCACACTAGGCGATGCCGACTAGTTGCAGTAAATCTGCACATCCGTGAGTTAACTAAACCAGCCTCTGACTGGCACTCTCCACG